CCACCGGGAGGACTCGTGGGTGGGCTTGCAGCGGCCGCGCGGGTTCTGCTCCCAGATGCTGTTGGCGGTGGCGTTGCCGATGGCCGTGAGCACCAGGGTCAGCTCCCGTGGCCAATCGTCCAGGTCCAGCGAGCGCACGCGCGACACGTGCGTGCCCAGGTTGCGGTGGATGCCCGAGCACTCGATGCAGATCAGGGCGCCCAGGTTCAGGCTGGCCCACGTGGGGTCTGCGGGGTGACGGGGATTGGGGTGTGTGAGCTGGGGCACCCCTGGGCTCGGGACACCCCACGGTGCAGGACACAGTGGGACCTGTGGTGTGGCACGGTGTGGCTCACGGCACCATGTGGCATTGTGTCACCCATGGCATCGTGTCACTCACAGCATTGTGTCACCCGTGGCATCGTGTCACCCATGGCATCATGTCACCCATGGCATCGTGTCACTCACAGCATTGTGTCACCCATGGCATCATGTCACCCATGGCATCGTGTCACCCACAGCATCATGTCACCCACAGCATCATGTCACCCATGGCATCGTGTCACTCATAGCATTGTGTCACCCATGGCATCATGTCACCCACAGCATCATGTCACCCATGGCATTGTGTCACCCATGGCATCATGTCACCTGTGACATTGTGTCACCCACAGCATTGTGTCACCCATGGCATCATGTCACCCACAGCAGCATGTCACCCATGGCATTGTTTCACCTGTGTCATTGTGTCACCCGTGACATTGTGTCACCCATGGAATTGTGTCACCCATGGCATCGTGTCACCCATGGCAAAGCGTCACCTGTGACATCGTGTCACCCACAGCATCATTTCACCCATGGCATTGTGTCACCCGTGACATTGTGTCACCCATGGCATCTGTCACCCGTGACATTGTGTCACCCACAGCATTGTGTCACCCACAGCATTGTGTCACCCATGGCATTGTGTCACCTGTGTCATTGTGTCACCCGTGACATCGTGTCACCCACAGCATTGTGTCATTCATGGCATTGAGTCACCCATGGCATCGTGTCACCTGTGACATCCTGTCACCCGTGACATCCTGCCACCTGTGGCATGGTGGCTCTGGCACGATATGACCCATGGCACCATGTGGCCTGTGCCATCCATTGTGTGGCACCATGTGGCATATGGCAGCACATGGCCCAGGACATCGTGTCACCCGTCACACGTGGCATCACGTGGCCCGCAGTCCTCCCTCGCCCTGGTTGCCAGGTGGCCCATGGCCCGTGGCACAATCTCACCCTGTGGCACCATCCCCTGGATTCTGGGCTCTGCCGGGCCCGTGGCACCGCTGCCCCATGAACCGATGTCCTCCCGTGTCCCCCCGTTGTCCCCGGTGCCCCTGGGGACTCACTGGGTGCCCCGCAGTCCACGCAGAGCGAGTTCCCGCGGGCGTTGCGGATGGCCTGGATGGCCACAGCCTCGCTCTGGCTGTCCATGCGCGCCTGGAGGGACACGGGGGTGAGCGGGGCAGGGGGTGACACGGGGACCCTGCCAGCCCCCCACCAAGCTCCCACCTTGTTCTTGCTGCTCTCGCAGCACTGCAGGCTGGCCAGGATCTGGCTCTCGATGGCCTGAACCCACGCGTCGCGCTCCTCGAAGCTGCCGGCCTCAAAGTGCCACGTCTGCCCCGTGCTTGACACGATCAGAAACTCAAAGTTCTCCTCCTCTGCGGGATCAGAGACCCCCAGGGGGGCGGTGGGATGGGAGATCCTACACCCACGGGGGGCTGGACTGGCCCAGTGCCCACTCCAGCCCCCCACATCCACCCCTGGCACCCAAATTCTGCCAATCCCCCTCCCCGGAGGTGCCCACCCCTCCTGGGGTGTGTGCTAGCAGCAGGCAAGGGGGGCACAGCCACATGCACGGGAGGCACCGCTCGCGCCACGTTACCTGTTTTATAAATATTTCTTAAACTACCAAAACTTTTTAATTTCCACATTTTGCGCTTGGCTGCGGAGGGTCCGGGCAGCAGGAGTAGAGAGAGGAAACGGGGACAGAGTCAGGGGGGCCCGCGAAGCCCTGGGGATGGTGCAGAAGGTGGCAGGCAGTGGCAGAGCGAGGGGGATGCGTGGACAGCATGGCTGAGCATGGACAGGGGGTGAGGTGCAACATCACCCCAAATCCCCCTGAATTCTGGGGCGTCGTTGCTGTGGAGGATGGTGGCCTTGTCCCCACAGAGTCATGGGTGACTGGGGCTGGGGACACATCGCCGTGGCACCCACCTTCTGCCTGCCCACCCGAGCTCTCGGTCTTGGACGGCGTCATCAGCTTCTTCCGCCGGTGCTTCTTCCTGTCCACCAGCGGCGACGGTGGAGGGTCCCTGCCCGCGCTGCCGGGGCTGGACACGGCCTCGAAGGACAACGGGGACTCTGCCAAGAGACCACACGTGGGGCACTGGGGACACCACGGGCAGCAGGGTCTCTGGGGTCACCCGGCTCGTGAGGACCAGGGAGCTCACCAGGACCATTGAGGCCACCAGGGTCACCAAGTCAGAACCACTCAGGTCAGCAAGGGCTACCAGGGTCACCGAGTCCACTGGGCTCAGCAGTATCACTTGGGCCACCAGGGCCACTGGACTCACTGGGGTCACCAGGGTCACAAGTCCACCAGGGGCCCTGGGCACGCTGGGGTCATCAGAGCTCACCAGGGTCACTGATCTCACCAGGATCACCAGGATCACCACCGCCAAGACCACCAAGTTCATTGATGTTACCAAAATCCCTGGGGCCACCAAAGTCACAAGAGCCTCTTGGCTCACCAGAGTCATGAGGGTCACCAGGGCCACTGGGCTCACCAGGCTCACCAGCTTCATTGTGGCTTCTGGGACTCCCAGGTCCACATGCTTGCCAGGGCCAGCAGTTTCACTGTGGCCACCAGCACCACCAAAGGACCACCTGGTTCCTGGGCTCATGAAAGCCACCAGGGTTATTGTCACCAGGGCCACCAAGGGCCACCGGGTCCCTGAGCTGCTCAGAAGTCACCATGCTCAGTGGGGCCACATGGGGCAGTCCCTGTCAGTGCCCTGGGAGGTGGCCATGTCCCTGCTTGTGCTGGTGCCACTCACCTGAGGCGAGCTTGGCGCCGGAGGCGGAGGCGCAGCGCTGCAGTGACCCCTTGCCCACCACCTTCAGCCCTGGCTCAGGGGGCAGGCTCAGCCCCACGGAGTGGACACCGGCTGCAAGGAGGGGGAGGGACGGTGTCACACCGGTCCCCGTGGTGTCCCCCCCACACCCGGTGTCCCCTGGGCACTCACCGCCCGGCTCGGGCTCCCGCAGCAGCCCGTTGATGCTGGCTGAGGGGCCGCAGGCAGAGATGGCGCGTGGCGGGCGCTTCCCGGGCACCTTGACCGTGGTGCGCAGCAGGTCCATCTCCTTCCCGTGGGTGCTGTGGATGTAATCCTGGGGGAAAAGCGGGGGTGACACTGGGCCCTGCCACAATTTGGGGACAGCAGAGGTGCGGGGACACTCACGTTGATGCTGGGGTGGTAGAAGAGGAGGCCGTTGCTGGACAGGGTCACGTATTTCTTCTTCCACTCCTTGTTCAGGGAGTTGCCGCTGCGCTTCAGCAGGAAGCTCTGGGGACAGGGAACAGTGAGGGGACAGAGGGGACACTGGGACCCACCCGTGTCCTCCTGCCACCGCCACCACCCACCTGCTTGATGGGGATGGCACGGCCACTGCCGGCCACCTCGCCTCGGCTGTCCAGGCTGCGCTTCTCAGAGTCACTTCCGCGGCGCGTCTGCAGGAATGGGGACAGGGACAGGGGTGGGACCCGTGCCATAGCTGGGGACACAGGGGGCCCACACGTCCCCCACTGCTGGAGCCTGGTGGTGGGGACATTGAGGTGCTACAGACCCCACCAGACCAGGGTGTGGGAACACCTTGGGTACCCACGTGTCCCTCAGTGCCACCACCACCACACCAAGGGGACAACTGAGATGCCGCGTGCCCCTCAATGTCACCACCCTGCCAGGGGACACCTTGGGTGCCGTATGTCCCTTGCTGCCACCACCCTATCAGGGTGACATTCTGGGTAACATCAAAGGGACGCCCTGGATGTCACAACCCCTGTGTCACCACCACCATGCCAGGGGAAGAGCCGGGGTGCCACGTGTCCCCCCAGTGCCACCCCCTGGCAGGGGCCGCGGGCACTCACGGCGAAGAGGCTGGTGCGGCGCTTGGCCCCGCGGTGCAGAGAGCTGGGGGTCCCCAGTGGGGCCGGGGTCTCGCTGCGCAGCTCCCGGTGGCTCACGTTGGGGGTGGATGGCAGTGAGGACGAGTAGTCGCTGGTGTGGCCACCGTTGCTGGT